AGAACAGGGAATTATCTAAAGCCAACAAAAGGGGCGCCTGGGTGACTCAGTCGGTTAAGCATCCGACATCAGCTAGGTTATGATCTCACAGTTTGTGAGTTCACGCCCCGCAGCGGGCTCTGTGCTGACAGCTCTGAGCCTGGAGCCTGCTTTGGATTCCGTGTCTCTCTCTGCCCCTCCTCTGCTCACACACTCTCTTTCAAAAATGAATAAACATTAAAAAAAAATTTCGTAAGCCAACAAAAGATGTACGGTGGCAACAGAGAGGCTCTGGGTCTTTATAATAACCCTCAGCAGCAAAATTTTTCTTTAGGGAACCAACTTCAAGGGAGCATAGAGCTAAAAGTCTGGTTCCTCAAACCAAGAACCCCTTTTTCAGACTACAACCTTTCTTTCTAGAAAGTATCCTTTACCTTTGGGAACCCCTTCTGAGACTTTCGTACTTCAATCCTACTCTGCTCCCTAATCATCTAACCTGTCTTACATCTTGTGTACATCTTGGACCTTTTGTTGATACTAAAGACATTCTCACTTGGGGGCACCTGAGTGGCTCAGTTGGTTAAGCATCTGACTTTGGCTCAAGTCACGATCTCACAGTTCGTGAGTTGAAGCCCTGCATCAGGCTCTCTGCTGTCAGCACAGAGCCCCCTTCAGATCCTCTGCCCCCTCTCTCTCTGCCCCTCCCCTGCTTTCTCCCTCTCAAAAATAAACATTAATGGGAAAAAAAAACCTATATTCTCATTTGTATCCTTGATTCCTTCACTTTTTGTCCTTATGTCACACCAAGAACCCAACCCTCTTTTCCCAGTTTAACATCTACAACGGAGAAGCAAGCTAAGAACCACAAAAATTGAGCCCAGCTTCTCTGAGATCCTTTTGGCTCCTGAGCAATCCTAATCTTGGGAGCATATTCCAAATATTTTCCACTCCTCAAGACCAGGACCTGATCCCAGCCCCCTCACCATTAGGAAATGAGCGGACAATCTGTATGAGCCTCCACCAGATTTCCTCACGTGTCTTGCCAGGATTTGTGACCAAGCTTACAGTTCCTCTTTCCCATTTTGGACTCCATACTGTTCATGCTGTTCCCTACGGAGGAAGCCATTTCCCCATCCTCTGGTCACATTCCATCTTCCATGAAGGCTGCACCAGCTACCTTACAGGTTTAGTGGCAGAAGAGGGTGTTAAATATCTGATTTAAATTGAGGCTTTCTTTCCCTTTTTTGCCTATGCATATCTACAAACGACTTGAATAAGAGAATATTTACTATTAGAAGAGTATTTAAGTATGAGGTATTTACTAGTGACCAATTACGGAGTTCCTAACTGCAGCCCACACTCCCCTCTTGACCCAACGAGAACCAGAAAAGTTCCTCACCGTCCACTAGATGGCACTGCTTGCTCAGCAGTGACTTTTCAAGGACACTATTCCAACTGTGGCAAAATAGGCAAATCTTCAAGAGGCTCTCCTTTTTCAAACTATACCATTTGCTCCCGCAGAGGTCTCCAATTCAGCTATGCTGGGATTATGACAAAATATAGTAATGATTACTTTTGATCTTTACATTTATAGTCTACTGGTCTAGAATGATCCAACAATAAATAGCTACTGTTACTACAGTTCATGAAAGCCTGGACTCTTCACATATATTATAAACATCCTATGGCCAACTGCCTCACACTTGTATTCTTCACCATCTAAAACACTTTAATCACAACCCTGCACGAATGAAAAGGGACACCACAGGAAATGGAGACAGGCTTTTCACAATGGAGTGTAAGGACCAACAACCTTCAGGTGGTCCCCAACTTGTCCTTGGGAAGCAGAGTACAGTGTGTACCTGAAGAGGAATGGGAACGTCCGGGTCACTAGCCACAGTAGGAGAACTCATCCCCGTGTGGCCCCGTAACAGCCCAGGACTGTCAAACCACTTCACTCTTGGCTCTGTCTCCAAGCTGGTAGAAAACTGCAGGTAGGTAGGTCATGACCTTCTGGACCTCAATTTGTTTCATTATGAGGTAATAGGTCTTAAAGGCTTTAAAAATTGACATCCAAAATACATGAAAAGAAATAGTACCTACAAAGGGTTAAAAGCAGAAGGATAATGTACTTAATATTTCGAATGGGTTTAGAGACAAAATATTTTCATTTCAATAACCTTGATAAAACAGAGATAAACAATGGCTTTGAAGAAACGATCTTGGAAATATTTTCTTCTCTTTTCTCTTACGCATGGTTTCCAGGAACTAGAGGTTACCTGTGGTTACCATGGCAGGACAGCTAAGACTTACCACATACCACTTAATTTCTGAAAGAAGTGTTTATCATTCTGCAAAAGCCAAACCTGAGCACCTTCCGGGCCTTCTAACATCCAGCTAGCCATCTGGGTTCAATAGTGAGAGGCCACCAACTAAGTTAGTACAGGAGCCCACTCAGCTTCCCGTACAAGCAGAATGCATTGCCATTTAGTGGAAACAGGCTATTCCTAAATCCCATGCAGTGCCTTAAGCAAACAAGAGACACGAGAACAGCTGGAAACCCCAGAGGAGATGGCCATGTGTTTTTAGTCAGTGGAAGACACCACTAGGATGCCCCAGAGGTGCCAAGTTGTGTTGGTCAAGAGACACCCGTGTTAAGATTCAAACACAAAATTTAACCAGATTGAAGAGTAAATTAACTGGTGTAGGAGCTTCAGAACAAGTGAAGAAGTCCATTAAGCGTGTACTTTTCGGAGATGGTCAGAATGGGGTTCTGATAAGCATGGGCCACACTGCTGGTGGAGAAAGAGGGAAGAGCAGGGCTTACAAAGGGCTCCTGTCAAAATACAACCAGGCTCATTCTATTTATTTTGAGAGCACACAAGCAGGGGCGGGGCAGAGAGAGATTGGGGGGGGAGGGGAGGGGAGAGAGAATCCCAAGCAGGCTCTGCATTGCCAGTGCAGAGCCCAACGTGGGGTTCAAACTCACTAGCCACAAGATCATGACCTGAGCCAAAAGCAAGAATCCAACGCTTACCTGATTGAGCCAAAGAGGTGCCCTACCAACCTCTTTTTTCAGAGACAAATATCAAGACTCGTAAGTTTATCTGAGGCACAAACTTTTAAATCTGAAGTTTGATAAATCAGTCTGGGATATTCCAACACTGAGATGGACAAACTGACATAACATTTTATTATTGTATTTTGAGAGAGGACGCAAGTGAGCAAAGGGCAGAGACGGGGTGGAGGGGGGAGAGAATCCGACAAGGGACAGAGAGGGAGAGAGAGAGAGAAGCAGGGCTCACCCGATGTGGGACTCTAACCCACGGTTTATGGGATCATGACCTGAGCCAAAGTCAGATGCCTAAGCGACAGCCACCCAGGCGCCCCCAAACTGACATAACTTTTAACAGAGAATAGAAGTCTTACTCATAAGAAGCTAGCTTATTTTTGGTTTCATCTGCAGCAAGATGAGACCTGAACAAATGGGGCCTTGGCACAGTCACCTGGACTCCTCCTACTTCTGCTAGTTTCATCACCCTGTGTGTGAGCCCTATCCCATCCTCAACCCGGCAGTCCCTGACCCAGTCTCTAAAGCAGTGTGGCGCGCTGGTCCATCTGTCCCTCCCACAATCGCACACAATAAGCCAAGTCCATGCTTTAAACACCCCCATGGTCTGTACCCAGACGCTTCAATTTCACCCCACCCCCACTCCTGCTGCAGCGGTGGGACCGCGCCTGCGTGGTGCTCCCCAACCACCGTGCCCTGGCTGGTGGCAGGGGCCCCGGGGATAGCCGCCTGCAACTGAGCACTGTCCAGGCGGCCAGGCACACATTTAAACCTCAGGACCCTCCTTATGCTCTTTCACCTCAGTCGTCGGGGATACAGACTGCAACAACGGAGAACAACTTTAACATACGAGAGTCGTTTGTCATTGGCTGAATCTCTTCAAATTCATCTTCAGGATTTACAACAGAGAAACCATACAAAACGTGCCTTTAAACTACCAACACATTTGGGGCGACTGGGCGGTTCAGTCGGTTGAGCGTCTGGCTTCGGCTCAGGTCGTGATCTCGCAGTTCGTGGGTTCGAGCCCCACATTGGGCTCTGTGCTGACAGCTCAGAGCCTGGAGCCTGCTTCGGATTCCGAGTCTCCCTCTCTCTGCCCCTTCCCCACTCATGCTGTCTCTGTCTCTCAAAAATGAATAAACGTTAAAAAAAAAAATTTAAACTACCAACACAGTCAACAAAGGTATAAAACACAATTACTTTATTGATCTCTTACAATCAAACACTGTCAACTACCATTACTTCCATTCATGCATCAGTAAAGGATATTTCCTTAGTATTTTCAAATGATACATTTAAACGATAAACAAAAAAGTTAGAACTTAAAATGCACCCTGATTAATTATGTAAACCGGTAATTTTTTTTTAAAAAGCATAACTAACAATTTGGTTCCTTTCTTCATAAAATGGAAATTTAAATATTTCTCCTGATAGTCTTGAGGTTCTCATTATGTCGTGAGTAGTGCAAAGTGTGGCACAGTTTCATCTAGAAAGGTGTGTCTCACACGCCTTATTCAACAAACGAAATGTGCATAACAAAATGCATACAGTCAATGCATGATAGAAAGCATGTTTCAAACACAAGGTGGCCCCTCGGGCCACCATATTATTTAGGTTTTTGCATTATCATTTATGGCATTATAGATTAATCATACATAACATACTTTTATACATTTTAACCCTGAAGATAAGAAAAATAACTGTTGCTTGAAAAAGTTATTCCAGGTAGCCATTTGGTTTGTATCAGGAGAAAGTGAACCTCCGAGAGTCTAGTGTCTGCCAAGTCTGGAATCAGCTGGAGTCAGTCAATCGGACATGACATACTTCACAGTGACTGTTTCCCAAGTCCCGGCGACGCTTCTTCCCACAGTGCGCCAGACGACGAAGCATCTCTGGAATCACCCTTGCGTGTGGTTTTCCCTTTTTTTTTTTTCTGGATCAACTACTATTCTATTATTTTGTCCTTTCTTCTCAGCTCCTTTATGGCCTTTCATTTTAATTATTCATAAATCCTTTCAGAATATCCTCAGAGAGCTCCATAAGGGGAAGTTCTGGAGACGGAAAATCCAAGGGAGGAAGGTTGGGTATGGGGATATCCTTGGCTTTGCCGGTATTCGCTGAAAACTTTTGCCAGGTTGGAGAGGCTGTGGCAGTTTCCGAATGTGGTGGCAAGCTCCACAACTCTGACTTTTCTACAAAATCAGCATCGACATCCAGCTCCTTTTCTACTGGGCCTTTTAGAAGTCTGGCCTTTTCAGCCTTTAGTTGTTTGTTTTCTTTCCTTAACCTTTCGTTCTCAGCCACGAGGAATTCGACGTGCCTCTCCAAATCTGCGATCTTGGTAGCCTGCTCCTCTATGATTGTCTTGTCGTCCTTAGGGGCTTTGCTTCCAATGCACGGCTCTGCTGGCTCCCTCTTCTGCTGAAGTAAAAACAGCAGTGTGTCTGGATCCCTGTCAAAGACCCCCTGGATTTCAGGCAGATGTTTCTCCGTAGAAGGGCTGTATTTCTCAGAGAGAAGGGGGCTCTGGCCCTCTGCATCCTCAGAAGGAGGTTTGTGCGGGGCCTGGAGCTGGGCGGCCGCATCCTTGTCTGTGCTCTGCTGGGCTTTCAGTCTCTCTTCCCGCTTGGCCCTTTTCCACCTCTCCTGGATGAGGAGGAGCTGTTTCATGTGGCTGTCCCTTTGCAATTCCAGTGACAGATGAGCCTATCACACAGAAGGAAAGGTGTCATTTAACATTTAAGTCTCTTTAATAATCTCCAATGAATATAATCCCAAGATCCTCCTTTCTAAATAACTTTATAACACTTAAAATTTACATACTATGTTTGCAATTCAGTAGAACCCCTGATTTTGTTAAAGACAACTGGGTCTTTAAAGACAACAGTCATGGCCCCACCACAAAAGGAGGGTGCGTGCGGGCCACACAGGCGACTAGGGGGGTCTGCGCTTCTGAGCCCGACATCTCCCACGTGAGGCCACTCTTCCAAGACCAAGATGTAGCTGAACTCCCTAATACATAAAGAGAATCAGCCAAAATAAGAAGACCGAGGCACACATTCTAAATGAAAGAACAAAAGACAAATCCTTAGAAAAACAACTCCATGAAACAAAGATAAGCAATCTACCCCATAAACAGTTCAAAGTAAATAAAGATGCTCACCAAACCTGGGAGAAGAATCAACATAAAACTTCAACAGAGAGACAAAAAATATCTCCATAATATAAGAAATTATCAATCAGAACAGAAGAATACAATAAAAGAAATGACAAATACATTATACAGAACAGAGTAGATGATACAGAAGAACAGATCAGCAATCTCCAGGACAGGGTAGCAGAAATCACCCAAAGTAAACACCAAAAGAAAAAAATTGGGGGATGAGAATAGTTATTTAAGGGATCTCTACTAGGAAAATATCAAGACTAAGAAAATTCACATGAAGAAATAACAGCTGAAAACTTCCCTAACATGGGGAAGAAAACACACATCAGGTCCAGGAATCAAATAGAGCCCCAAACAAAATTAACCCAAAGAGATCCATACCATGACACATTATAATTGTCAAAAATTAAAGACAAAGAAAATCTTAAAAGCAGCAAGAGAAAAACAACTAGTTATGTATACGGGGATCCCCAAAAGATTAACAGCTGTTTTATATA